CCCCCTGCGCGTCACAGCCGCGACACTTGGCGACAGTCTCACCCATCCGTGTTTTGCTTTATGCCAGGGTTATGACATTAGCTTTCTCATCACCAACTTTCATACCGAGCAAATGTACAAGCACAAGCTCGTCGACTTTGTCATCCAGGTGAGCCGCATTTTGCGCAACGACACGGCAAGGTCGCCCCCAGCATGCTGGATCTCATCTCAATGCCCTTGTTTACAGTTCATGACGGACATTGATAAGGAGATTAGCGACATGAAGCTCAAGGTCAACAGCCGTGCCCGTATTTCGGCGGAATCCTTCCTTTCCGCGGTATGACACCCTTACTTTTTATCCGTTTACGTTTTGGATGTGTGGCGAATCCCCGAGGATAAAATTACATGTGACCCTCACACCGCGCGACTCTCACCTCTTCTTCCCCTTTGTTTGCCGGCAGTTTGTGTAAACCCCATCGGGATGCCATCCCTGGCACCAGGATTTAGCGCTGTGAACCATAGCCAAGTGTCGCTGGTGTCTTTCCCTGTCTCTGTTTGTTTGTTTTCCCCCTCTGCGTGCTGCGCCAATGCCCATGTGGCCGTGGAACAGCCCAGTTGCTCCAAGACGCTTGGTTTCAAAGCGGGGCTCAGTTTGGTGTTCCTTGCCCTCGTAAAGTGTATTGTGGATCTACGTGCGTGTGTTAATGTCCCGTGTTCCAGGCTGACGTCAGTGCATGAGCCGCCTTTTTTCCTTTTTCTTTTCCTGCCCAATCAATCTTTTGGAATGCATGATTGTATCGTATTTTGTATTGCATTTGTATACCAACCACGTCCGTTGTGATCATGCATCAGCATCACCCAGCCAACCCAAGCACAGCTTTGAACATGGTCGATTGAGCGTGCGCAGAGCCAACGAACCAACACATCTCTTTTCTCTCCTCCACCAAAATCTCTCTCTCTCCCTCAAGCTCTCAAGCTCTCGTCTTAATTGTCAGATTTTCAAACTCACATCGGATACACATTCGCATTCTCTCTTTCTCGACACACACACACACACACACACACACACACACACACACACACACACACACACACACACACACGTGGAGCGCGCTCTACGTTTCTCTCTCTCTCTCTCTCTCTCTCTCTCTCTCTCTCTCTCTCTCTCTCTCTCTCTCTCTCTCTCAGACTCGATCTTCTTCTTTTTTTTTAACTCGCAGGGTCGAGAGCTGGACGGGGCTGGCGCTTGCCTGGACGGTTGTGCGTGAATTGGGGGTAGCAAAAGCGTGGGTGGCCCTGTCCTTTCTGACCCGAGAGGGGAGACGAGATATAGGGGTCAAGTTGACGTTCGAGATGCCCGGCTCAAAGTCTGCGAGCGCTCGCTCGACGCCGAGCCGCAAAGCAGGCACGCCCAAGAAGGCAGCCTCAAACGCCGCATCGGCCCATGCGACACCGCGGAGTAGTGGCAAGCAGCAGAAGCGCACCAAGAGCCAGCGTTCAACGCCTTCCAAAAACGCTGCTGAGACGGATAGCTCCGAGGCCAGCTTGTCCCTCTTTTCCTCCAGCACGCGCGCCGCCCTCGAAGCAGAGCGTCCGGTTCAGGCTGACATTGATACTGTCGCCGCTACCACTCAGAGTGCCAAATCCGACGTGCTTGATGAGCGTGCTGCTCTCACAGGTACCACGACTGTTTCAGAGCCCGTGGTTCCAATGGTTGCACCGGCAGCAATTCGCAAGGTGCTCAAAACTCTGCGCGAGGGCTGTGCTGCCTCTACGGCACACGTTCAAAAGTTTTTGCGCCGTGTCGAAGCCGACGAAATGCCAACTTCTCAAGGCGTTTCTTTCCTTGAGGTGTGGCTTATGGCCTTGACCTCTCCGTCTCTCCTTTTTTTTTTTTTTTTTTTTTTGAAATGACCTTGTTTATGAGGAGTGAACCGGCATGTGCAGGACGAGCTTGTGCGGCTGCTCATGATTTGATGTGTGCTTTTGCGCGCAGGCCAAGGTGCAAACAATGCTCAGCTATAACCTCAATCTGTGCTCAATCCTGTTGCGCAAGCTACACGGTGGAAGCTTGACACAGGCCTCGGCTGTCGGTTCGTTTCAATCACACGTGCATTCCATTTGAGCCTCCGGTGTGCATGAACCGCACACAAAGTCGTTGCTCACGGTCAACCGTCAACCTATTATAGAGAACTTGGCTCGCCTGCGCGTCATCCTCGAAAAGATCCGGCCTATTGACAAGAAGCTACAGTACCAAATCGACAAGGTCCATCACCGCCCAGAATGTGACAAGAGTTGTTTGTCTGGTCGCCAAATCACCCACCCGAGGCTCCTTCGCTCACGCTTTCTTGGACGTTTGCAATGTGATGATGCGCCCGCTATAGTTGATCCGCTTGTCCCAGACACAAGACAACGAGGCTGGCGCCGAGTCCGGTCTACAGGCAGATCCGCTGCTGTTCAAGCCCAACCCAGCTGCTCTCATGCCCAAGGTGCGGGCCGCGCGGCTTTATCGCTCCATGACGTGTCTCGTCTCGTGATCTCTCGGCTCTATTCTGATGGGCCCATGGCTATGGTGTCCGCATTGTCACACTGATACATGACCTGTTTGCCAACAGTCGGGCGCCGATGCCGCGTCAGAATCGGAAAGCGAAGCTGAAGGCGCGCATGATGCCGATGCTTCGGGCGTCTACCGCCCGCCAAAAATCGCTGCCATGCCCTACAGTGCGTTCATGGGATCACGTTCTCGTTTTGATGAATTGGCTGCGGCTTGAGCTGCAAACCACCTCATTGTTTGTTTGTTTGTTTGTTTGCTTGTTTGTTTGTTTGTTTGTTTGTTTGTTTTCGCTTTTATTTTTGTACCGTGCGTGTGTGTGCGGCGCGTGTTTTGCAGACTTGGACGAGACGCAAGCAGACAGAAAGGCCCGCGACGAGGAGCGCAAGCTGCGTCAGCTGTCACGCAGTTCCATGCTGCAGAGCCTTCGAGAGGAGATTTCCGATCGCCCCATGGAGGTATGCGTGTAAAACATGCGCATGTCATGTCATGTCAATTATGAGGCGGGGGAAAGGGGCATGTTGGCACTGACGCACACTCGATCCATGATCTATGCCCTTGATCACCGGCTTGCGTGCACTTCAATGATGATGCAAACTTTTGCGTCATACCATCATGTTGTCTCACCAGAAGGGCTTTGTTTTGTGTGGCATCTAGGTACGAGAGGAACGTGATCTGCTCAAGCAGCGTCAAGGTGAGCGAATGGTTTGGCTCTGCGACCCTGCGCTTTGTCTGCCAACGGCTGCGCCGTGGTTTGTGCATTTCTCTCACAATACCTCACCCCTCTCACAATACCTCATTCATTTTTCCTTTTCTCTTTCCGGCGTGATAGCACCTCAAGTGCGGGCTGCCGCTGAGCAAGCTGAGTATGAGGAGGAGAACTTTGTGCGCTTGGGCATGTCAAAGAAGGTATGCAAGCAATTTGAGTTTGGACAGATGCCCACTTTTGTGTGATCTAGCATGAAAACTCATGTCGGTTTTTTTTTTTTTTTTTTTTTTTTTTTTTTTTTTTTGCTCGTTTTTTAGCTCAAACGTCGCAGCAACTATCGGTCAGAGACGCACGACATTGTTGACTTTGGTGGTTTTCGCCATTTGGACGGCCTGGGTGAAGGCCCTGCGGCTGGCAAGGCGCTCAAGCAGCGCATGTCCAGTGTCAATCAGAAGCGTGCCAAAGGCCGGGCAAAGCGTGCCAAGCGCATGTAAACCAAGTGCCTGGTTGTTGAGAGTTGTTGGGTTCCCCCCCGCTTGAATTTTGTTCTTCTTGGTTGGCCACCTTGTTGCGCCGCGCGGTCGGCACGTTGTACGAGCGAACCTGCACGCGCACGCACACCTTTCAAAGTGTGCATCACCTTGTAATTTGAACTGCTGTCTTTGAGCCCTTCACGTCTCGATGCATTCAGCTACACCAAACACATCCGGACACATCCGTCCCGTTCTCGCCCGCGCACTTTTAAATGGCAATGTTCACGCCTCCTTCCTTGTTGGAATAGCTTCACACCTCCGCCACCCTGCCCGTCTGGCATACTCAAACGCTCAACGTTGTTACAGCAAAGAGGAGGTATCAAGTTGCTTTTTTAGGGCGCCTCGACCCTTCCAATCTTTCTCGACTTCTGACTCTCCCTCTGTCGCTCTGCTCTGCTTCTCGGTCTCTCTGCGGCCGTCTCTCATTTCACTTTGTCTCCTCAAGCGCTCTCTGTGAATCGTCTCTTTAAATCTCTCTCTCCCTCTCTCTCTCTCTCTCTCTCTCTCTCTCTCTCCCTCTCTCTGACTCTCTCTCTCTCTCTCAAACTCTCAAACTCTCAAACTCTCTTTCAAACTCTCTTTCAAACTTTCGCTTTCGTCCTCTCTCTCTCAAACCAATTCATTCTCTCTCTCTCACTAAATTTCTCTCTCTCTCTCTCTCTCTCTCTCTCTCTCTCTCTCTCTCTCTCTCTCTCTCTCTCTCTCTCACACACAGTGACATGCGGTCACATTCATGGCAGCACTTTTTTTTTTAAGAAGAAGAAGAAGACCGTTGAGCGCTCAACGCGCCAAAGGCGACGTCGACGGATCCATCTGCTTTGATCTGATCCTGGCATCACACACACACACACACACACACACACACACACACACACACGCGCCCGCGCCCGCGCGGTATTCGGTCAGTGAGCGTGCTCGAGGCGTGAGAGACAGGTGGAGTGAGGACGGTTGCCTGGCTTCATGCGCGTTAGATCGGTGCTGCTGGAGCAGCACGGACTAGCTGAATCATTCTTGACCCTTGCGCTCTCGGCGCGCTCCCTTTTCCTTCCGTGGGTGGATTCCCTCGCAGGCCTGGCGTCCGAAGTTGGTCAGCAGCTACGGACCGTTAGGTTCCAGGCCCACGAGCTAATGATTCACGCGCGGTTGCTCCAGCACTGG